ATGAAACGAGGCGATTTGATTTAGTACGCTCGTCTAAGAGAATCGTTTCTGGCCTAGGTACCTAAATTCGTATGGCAACATGCCATCACCGTGTTAGTGATGTTAGCTTCTGCCAAGACTCAAGCCAGATCATGGCTAATATATCCTTATGGTTATTAGTCTTTCCCCAATAACTAAATGGCGTTTGCTTGGCTAAACTAAATTTCTTACGAGAAACTATATTGAAGTAAGCCACGACGAGACATGTTACATCTGCAAGGCGGAAGTGATACGATATAATATATGTAAGGGATGGGTTAAGTAGAGTAATACTGACGAAAGCTACTATTTGGCTGCGACGTATAACTGGTATTGACAAACGGTAATTGATGCATTTACTGCAAATATTACTATTGAGACGCCACGTAATATAGATTATTGAAACTACATATGTAGGTTATTTAGGTACATTTTCAAGGCCGGAAGAGTATCCGTGGGTAGTATATGACTACCTGGGTAACTATAGGTACCCAACCTATGCATTACTTACCTGGGGAGGTAGCTTAGGGTTGAGAACTTGATATCACTTATATAATATTCATGGCGCCTCGCTGGATTTCTCTATAAAAATACTAATTAAAATAGCACCGTGAAGCTTCGAAGTTCTAGTAGTCATTGCGTATGCAAGCAAGAAATTATTATATTATACAACCCCATCACCCAGTCCTATAACCCGCCGCTCATGACAAATAATGAGAAAAGTCTGCTTTTGTGTGAAACCGAAGATGACGAAAAATTGGTCTATTTACAGTCCATGGGTATATTTTGTACAACCAGCTCGTCGGACTCTGTAACTCTTTTAAGACCTCATCGAAATCGAATACCATTTTTAAAATTGTAATACACGTTCCCAATCCACATAGGTAGGTAAGACAGGGGCGATCTACGTCGTTGGTTTTGACTTGAACATGTCGGTCATTCATTTTCAAGATACTTACTCCCTCTATAGCTTGGAAGAAAAGCATAATTTAAAAGAAATGGTAGCCCGTTTAGCCGCTTCAATGGTGGTGGCCGAACTGTGTGAGAAGAGGCAAGAACATCCCAATTACAGTTGCAAGTGTTTCCCGCATCTGCGGGTGGGTGTGCTTTCGTTGGCCGCCATCCGCATAACCGTTGGCGATCGAGCCATCGTGACCGGAAGGTGAATCGCCTTCTTGCATGGCATGCATCGCGACATAGCTAGAACATTAGTTAGGCATGAAAGACAATATAATCGTATCTGCACTCACAGGAAAGTTCCCGCCGAGAATAGCAACAGCATTCCCGTCCACCATTGGTTTAACCTACCCTCGCCACCTCCACCCAGGAAACTAACAAGGATGAAGGTTGCCCAAGCTCCAAATGGAGAGGCCAAGCTGAACACAATTAGGTGACCTCGAGCCGCACGTTTCGAGAGACCCTGTTTCAGAAGGATCGAGGTGAGACCAAAAGCCGCAGGCGCCTTATGCACCATAATGGCAATGAATACAATAAATCCTAGCTTCGTATCTGGCGAAGTAGCCGATGCCCCCATTGCGATGCCATCCGCCGCGGCGTGTATCACTAGACCTGTAGTGGTCGCTAGGCTTCTCGACTGTTTCGGCGTAGGTGTTAGGGAACCCAAGAAGCCTTCGGATTCTTCCTCATCGCGGGAGAGAGATGATCCACCCAAATTGCTCAAGCTGATATGCCTCGGTGGCGGGGGTGGCTGGAAGTTTTCTGACGCATGGCGAGGAAGACGATCGATCAGGAACATGACAACAAAACCCAATATCAGAGAAAGCCCAATATAGAAAGTGGGTGCTCCAGATTCTGCGTGTTGGCTCCCTGTGCTAGGTTTAGCTTGACCACCTGGCACTGCTTCTGGTTCCTCCGCTGGCGCTCTGGCGTTGTAATCGAAGTTGGCCGGGCTACCTTTCCTTGCTATATCCAACGCATTCCGGTCGCCAAATTCCTTTGGGGAAATCTTGGTCAAGTCTATACTGCTTGCTGAAATGGGATCTGACCCCTCTTCCCACCTAACTGCAGCAACATGTCTCGCATTATATAAGCTTCTCCTGTTTTGCGAATGCGAGGGGATCGACGCCTCGGTAATTGCTTCGACTCCTTCGGGTATGATCACTATCAGCGACGTGCCGACTAGTATGCCTATGCCGATACTTGAAATCAGTCGAAGTTGTGACTGGGTAAGGGACATGGATAATGGTAGTGCGCCGGCGAGAAAGGAACTGCGTTTCGTCAATTTTCGAACTTGGGGGGTTGTGTCGAACAGGAGACAACAACTTACGCTAATGCCATAACCACCTACGGTTTGAAATAAAGTTAGTAATTGAATCATAGTTGACAGCTGGGATGAGTATTTTGAACATACTGTTAGGGCAAGTAGAATAAAAACTCCAGTTCCCGCCATGGTTACTGCGTTCACTTAGAGGAAGCACCTAAGGGATAATTGCTTGTTACCGATTCATTGGTGTAAATCTTGACCGGTGCTAAGTCCGCGTATGGTCAGGGGCAATGCCTCAAGACGAGGAAGGGAGGCTATCTATGTAGATAACCTGACCCTTGACGTTGAAGAATGCTGCGTATGGCAATTGAAAAGATGCTTGAGGCTAAGATGAAGAGCGAGATGGAAGTTGGATATCTTTTTTGCGACGGTAGCCTCAAGTGTCAGAGCCGTTACAGTTTAAGCGTCCACTAAAATCTACCTAATTATCCCTGTTGCAACTTGCTTTTTAGGCGGGACCGTCTCACGTCACTGCCGATTTTCCATCTTGAGTGGTACCTTATGAAGTACTACGCTAAGTCTAAGAATGGATTAGACCCTACGCTAATGTCTGGGCTGCTTGGCTTTCTTGGCGGACTAGACAAGGCCTTTGCTTGGTCCTTCCAGTTAGAAAAAGGGAAAAAGCCTCCGAAAGATCTGTCTTGCTACCGTAACCTTGGCCCGTGCGCATTGTGCTCCACTAAGATGAACGCGCCGTTTCTATCAATCGGTTTAACGCGACGCTCAAGTTCCTAGAAGCGCGTTAAGTGCCGACATTTAACTGTTTTTGAGTTTTCATACACCTCCCTTTTTAATACATATCAAGGCAGTCGGTTCTGTAGGACCTCGCACTGGTCTTCATTGGCGTCATATAATCTCACCTGCTGCTTATTACCGATAGGTCTTGCGCCGTAAGCTTATTAGATAGGACAAGATGGAGGACGAGTGTAGGCAACTCGATCATTGTCGCGGAAAGGATCTAAACTGATTTGATATCTAGGGACGATTGACGCCAGCGAGGCGCTCACCATATCGCTCGTGCGACCTGCCTCATCAGGAATCGAAAAGATCGCCTCTTTCAAACCGAGACATACTTATGCCATCTTTGGCGAGGAGGAGCGCATATTCGGACATAAGGGCTTAAGGATCGATTTGCAGTTTGATGCGAGGGACCTGCGACCGAACCTCTCAGTATCCTCAGCGAAAAAGTTCACTAAGGTTGGCGACGTTGAGGCTGCTGATGTTAAGCTTACTATGAAAGACTACTTGCCTGGAGGTGTGCTACCTACATATGTCGTTTCTATATAACTTATGGATAACCTGCTGACAATCTGCAGTCGCATACCAATCAAAGAAAGAATACGACCAGGCTGTGAAAAGTCTCCCCGATACGTGGACCCCTCCTGGAACCCTGATCAAGACTTTGGAGAAGAATGGCGAAATCTACGAAATCTGGCAGGGGACTTTATCTCAACCCGAGATTCGCCAGCTAGTCAAGCGCATCCAAATTACCGTTCTATTCTATATCGAAGGTGGATCATATGTAGGTGTAGATGAGGAGGGAAACGACGAGCCGGAATATTCTCTGGCTAGATGGAATGTCTTCTTCGTTTATAAGAAGACACCTAGCCCTGAAGCCGAGGGTAATCCCCAGTATACGTTCCAGGGTTATGCAACAACCTACAACTTCTGGATGTTCCAACAACCCACGCCGCCGTCTTCGCCGGGCAATGGGAAAGTGGATGACTCGTGGGAGCTTCTCAAGGATGATTTTCCTGCTGCGGACTTCGTTCATCGCATCAGAATTTCGCAGTTCTTGATCCTTCCCCCTTTCCAGGGGAAAGGCATTGGTGCTTTCCTTTACAACACCATGTTTGAGATAGCGACGAATACCGCTACGACGAGAGAGGTGACGGTAGAGGACCCTAACGAGGATTTTGATCTACTGCGAGATTTATGTGATATGAAATATCTACGCAATAACGTGCCCGAATTTGCCAATCTAACAGTTAACACGGACGTACCAGTTCCCGCAAAGGGTGGCATATTGCGCAACAATACGCAAATAACTCCCTCTATTCACGAAACCTCATCAATTGGTGGAATTGTTGACATTGTAAAGCTGGAGGATCTCCGGATCAAGACTAAAATTGCACCCCGCCAATTCTGGCGACTCGTCGAAATGCATCTCATGTCGAAGCTGCCCGATTCTGTCCGACCTCAAGCAGACGACGAAACTAAGAAACCGTCCCCTTCAAAAACCGACAGGCATGCCTACACGCTGTGGCGCTTACTTCTCAAGCAACGTCTATATCGTCGTAACGTCTCTATCCTGGGGGAATTCGAGATCACAGAGCGCATCATCAAGTTGAACGAAACTGTGGACAATGTCGAATGGGAATATGCTAGGATCCTCGCCCGGCTTGAGTCGACGCCGCCTGTTGTCGCTAGCGAGCCTGTGGCTACTAATGGTAAAAGGAGACTCACCGGTGGCCCTAGTATAGAAAACCTTCCCAGCAAGAAGGCACGCGTCGAGGAAGCAGAGGAAGAATAGGAGTAATAAAATTCTAGTATTTTGGTAATAAGGAGGTCTATGGTGCTAATATAGTATGGAGTTTCGGGGGGTCTCATGATACCTACGTTATGTGTATATTTTAGGGGATTTCCATATTCCCTCTCTTGGCGAGGACTGGTCATTCTTGATCCATGGGTACGTAGCAGATGCTTGTAACACAAGTAAGGGGGGAAATGAATAATGGATAAAGGCAATAGCAAGCCGTTGCATTAACTATCTCGTTCGGCGCTCTAATCTATATTTAAAACGCCTTGAACGCCATCCGTATGCACACTTCGAAACTTTTCCTCGTGCCCATTCCTATCTCCTCTAAGTGCCCTTGCCGAGCTGGCTGGCAACAACTGCAGCTTGTTTCACAGCCTTGGCAACAGTGCCCCGTACTCGTCCCTCCTCGAGCACTAAGAGACCCTCGATAGTGCAGCCACCTGGCGTGCTAATCCTGTCCCGAAGCAGTGCTGGGTGGTCTCCATTAAGGACCAAGGCAGCAGCGCCTTTCATAGACTGGGCAGCCATCCTCTGAGCCTCAGCTCGCGGTACGCCTAGGGAGACTGCTCCGTCAACGGCAGCCTCAAGTACGAGGGAGAAGAATGCTGGTCCGGACCCGGCAAGTGCTGTGGACGCATCCATGTTCTTGGCGGGAAGGTAGATGACGTCGCCAATTCGCTTGAAGATCCATGTCACGAGGCTTGAGGTATGAGCTGGTAGGGGCGGCTCGCTATTGGCAACTACTGTCATGCCTTGCCTGACCATGCTAGCCGTGTTGGGTAGCGCCCTCACAATTCGGCAGCGTCCATCAACTTCAGGGTCCTTCTCAGGCACAGCACCGTGCAGTATCTTTTCGATCTGGGGAACCGTCACACCTGCGCATATGCTGATAAGAAGTTTGCCGTGGAGAGCCTTCGACAGGCCAGGCTCGTTAAGCAGATCCTCAACCATGGAAGGCTTGCAAGCAAGGATGATAACCTCACTCTTCATGACAGCCGCGACATTATCCTTCTGTACCACCTTGACTGAAGAGCTGTGTTCCCACAGAGCCTGCTTGACCTTCTTGGCGGACTCGGGCCGGCGCACGCATGCGATGAAGCGGGAAGGGAGTTGGGCAGGGATCTCGTCGGCCGGGGTCGATCTTCCAGAGGGCGTCTGCAGGGGGCGAGGCCCCGACATCTCCTGCAGGGAAGACAGGATGCCGGAGAGAATGGCGATTCCCATGGTTCCTGAGACACGTTAATTCGCCAATCTAAACAGCGGGATACTAATTCAGGACATACCGCAGCCAAGAACCGCCAAGGTCAACTCCGGCGCATTATGCTCGTGGTGCGTGAGGGCCAACATGTTGTCGAAAAGCCTATTAACCGGGTGTCTATGCAACACAGAGAGGAGGTTTATTTTGTTTTTGGTTTTTTGAGGTTTCTCAAAAAACAGCAAACAAAACCAACCGGCGTAGGCACAAGCTTAAGACCAGTGCGGGCAGAGAAGAAATTCCTTCAGGAACAAAAATAAAATAAAATCACAGAGACCAACCAAAGAAATTCATGTTTCACTGCATCATAGGACACTTGTCACATTGCCCTAGCAAAGTAAGCCCCTTTTACGAAGAAGAACCGCTTCGACGAGATGATAGTTATTCTCGTCTTCCGGGTGCCTTTACCGAAGTAGCACCGACAAACCTGTTCTACCCGTTGCTGTCCACTCCGGGAGTTTTCAGCCCTGGTTCAGCTGTGATTTCAAGGGGTTTGATTGGTTAACGTCTTTACTTACGTGAATTTACTCTTATTAACTGTTAACGTAGTATATATTATATTAACATTATGTTGTAAATAAGAACCTAAGGGTAGTCTCTTTATGACTAATTTCCAAATACATAAGTAATCTGTAATAAATATGCCAGTTAGCTTTTTGTTGTTTATTCTCGAAGTTCAAGCTGCTTTATTAGATGAATACCTTCTTGATAAGTAAAGAATGGCAGGGACGATAAGGATAGAGTGGATACTACCCTCCTGTCCCAATTCACTATATTGCCTGATTTCGCTTAGCGCCAGGTACAAGCTAACCTCTTCTAGATTGGTACTACACTAGCGTAACTTTGTTTTACCATTGGGGTAAGAGCCAACAGCAATCCAAGGATCGATAACGAATGGAGCTTCTCTTTCCCATTTCAATATTGCGCCTCGTCAGCCTTGCCTCTCAATTTCATCTTCCTCCATCAAACAACCTTCCGTAAAATTCCCGATTCTGGGCCATGCCACAATGGCGGCGGATCCCTTCGAAGTTCGGATGCGCTTTAGCGGCCAGCTTCAACACTTGAATGCAAGCACTACCGCTGCCCAGAAAGCTGCCCAGTATGCAATGAAGTACAAGGATATGGATGAGGACCTACACTCCTGTATCCTCGAGCAGCTTGAGAAGGTGAGTCTCATCTAGCATTTTATAGGCGAGCATCTATGTTGAAGAAGCGGCTAACTCTGTAATATAGACTAGTATGAACACACGCGCAAACATCATGTACTTTCTGGAGCACTTGCTGGAGATGGCATCAAAGGAACGCCAGAACCAGTATGTCCGAATGATGCAGAGAGATATCATTCGAGTTGTGGATGCAGTCTGTCCGGAAGATGGATCCGGTGCTGCCAATGTCAAAGTTGTCCGAAGGGTAAGTTTCAACGTTTGAATGGAGTTGAAAGTCATAATATAGAATGCTCACAACAGTAATACCTAGGTGCTTCAAAGCTTGATGAACAAGTCTATCCTGCTCGAACAGACGGTGCTCGAGATTGAGGGCTGTCTTAAAGAGCGCGATACCTCTATTGACCTTGGCTCTTCACCTGCCAATGGCGATGACGCTTCCCGTTCGCGTAATGGTAATGGTACTGCCAGTTCTCACCGCCTCGACAAGCGCCAGATTGAGCAGCGCATCGAAGAGGATCGTGAGCGACACAAGCGTATGCGCGAGAGCATGTGGGCGGTTCCCGGAACCATAGAGGAGGAGGCAATGAAGCTTCTCGAAGAAACGAGCGATCTTGGAGAAGATGATCACATCCTAGGCCGCGAGGAGTGGGAGGAGTTTCAGCGGGAAGCTGAGATGAGCAAATGTCACCATCTCCGACAAAGAGATGCTGCCACCAATGGGTCTTCATCGCACTAGGACGCGTCGCCCATCCGACTTAGCAAATCCCAGAGGGCAACAATGAGACGCCGACAATCTCGAAAGAAGCGCCGTTGCATGGAACAGCTAAACAAGGGCTTCCTGGCGCTGTCAACTAATGATGCATCGCGTGGCGTTCATAAGAAAGGAAAATCGGCATAAAAATGGCGTTTTTTGGTTGCTTTTTTACCTCCAATTTTGAGAGGATCTGGAAGTCGAGTGGTGGCATTTGCCCCGTATTCCGTTTGAAAAGGTTGAAGCATGTTGCGATGATTTTGTACTCTACATGGTCGGGAAGCATGGCGATCAAAATGGTGTTCCTTATGGCATATTTGGCTGATCGGAGGCGGCCTGCATTTGATGATACCAAAATTCACGTTGATTACGGACTAATTCAAATTACATGAAATATTGCTTCTTATTCTTATCTGACTCTTTAATTACAGGTGAGTCGAGCGTAATACTATGTCTTGGCCGTGTTATAGAATTGTAAGTCGGCGATAATCAGTTTCGGCCTATACTCTAAGGGTTGAGGATATAATTGGGGCATTTATACTAACTTCGCATCTTGCGCCCTTCGGATTACAAGCAGATCACAAGTTGTTTCCTTAATTGAAACTCGGCATCCGAAAAGCGGTGGATGCGATATTAGTATATAAAGTTAAGTTATTAGAGGTGGTGGGTTTTAAGAGAAGGATAGTTGCATTGAATGATAACTACATGTGTCTTATTTATTAAACGAGTAGAGATAACTACTAGCCGTAGCTTGTTTGTAAAGCAACTTCTATGATTTTTCAACTTCGTCAACTGAAGTAACTACTTACGTTGCTCATACGCGAATCGAAGCTATGCCGAAAGTATTGATATTCGGCACCGGCAGTCTCGGGACTTGCTATGCCTGGGCCTTATCAAACGCGGTCGGACAGGACAACGTCACCGCGATATGCCGATCTAACTACGAGTTCGCTTCCCGGAACGGTTTCACGATCCACTCGAACCTGTGGGGCGATAATCTCCATTTCCAACCCCGCATCGCGAGATCTGTTGCCGAAGCCGTGCAGCAGTTGACTTTGGATACGCAACCGTTCTTCGACTTCGTGGTTGTCGCTGCCAAGGCCGTGCCTACTGACCCTTCGATAGCGGAACTGATTGGCCCCGCTATCGCGAAGGGTAAGACGGCTATTGTGTTGTTGCAGAATGGTATTGGGATCGAGGACGAGTATGCGCAACTCTACCCGGATAACCCGCTGTTGAGCACCGTGGCATACTTCCCGGCTACCCAGGTCTCGCCTGGTATTGTGCATCATAAGGAAGTTGAGATGTTGCACGTGGGCACGTATCCGGCTACTGCTCCTACGAAACACAAGGAGGTAGCGCTAGAGTTCGTAGAGCTCCTTGGGAAAGGGGGTGCTACGGCTAAGTTACACGACGATATCCAGCGCAAGCGCTGGGGCAAGTTGCTTGTCAATGGTTCTTGGAATCCCATATGCGCGCTCACTCGGCTGAAGGACCGGGAGTTTATCGAAGTGAGCTTGAGTTTGGACTTGGGCGCAGAAGACAAGTGGGGTGACGGCGTGCGCTTTATAAAAGACGTCATGTTGGAGATTGCGTCTGTAGCACAGGCCTACGGATACGACGATGTGAATGAAGAGATGGTGGATTTCCAGATCGGACGCGCTGTTGTACGTGACCTTCCTGGAGTACAGCCGTCCATGCTGGGAGATGCGTTTGATAGCAAGAGCATGGAGGTTGATGCTATTGTGGGTAATGTGGTGAGACTTGCGAGGAAGAAGGGGGTGGCTGTACCGATGCTGAGAACGATTTATCTCCTGGCTAATGGGCTTAGTGAGAGCTTTTCTCGCAAGAAACTGCAGTCTTAGAGGATAGGAGATAGTGAGGGATGTGTTGTCCTCTGTCTCTATCTCACTAGGAGGGTTTGAAATGCCCCTTTAGAGAAAATACTGGCCCATCCTAGACAGATGCCTAGACAGATATTTAGAATCTATCATCAATAGACAAGAACTAACAAACTTCTAAGATTGGCATTTTTTTACCATCCGAAAAGTTTACTTTCCAGGGCTTTTGTATTGTTATACAGGTTTAGGTTACATGTATATACGGCATCGTTCGTGTTGCCTTGCGAGTTTAGATGAATCATTCCATAGTAACGGTAGCTCCTAGCTCCTTCATCGTAGCCACGATCTTCTCGGCCTCCTCCTTTGGTACCGATTCCTTCATCATCTTGGGTGCGCTCTCCACGAACTTCTTGCTGTCGACCAAGCTCAGCCCTAATAAGCCCTTGACCTCCTTGATAACCTTTGCCTTCGCGGCAGTGTCGAATGCTTGCAGCTTAATGTTGAATAGGGTCTTCTCCTGAGCAGCTGGCGCGGGTTCGTCCGCCTCCTCTGCTGCGGCGGGGGCAGCAGCCGGGGCAGCAGCGAAGCCGCCAACTGGTAGATCGGGGATGTTAAGTCGGGACTTATATGGTATATTAGCAGATAGAACCAGAATGCCTATATCAACGAAGTAGGACCAACCTTTAGGCTGCTGACGAGGTCGGCGGTTTCGAGGAGGGTCAATTGGCTGATCTGGTCAACGATACCGGCAATCTTCGGGTTCGTAGCCGCTGCGGTAGACTCGTGCCGCCGCTGTATCGACGGAGTGCTCTGAACGAATGAAGCCGATACCCGGAAAGAGTTGCTGGAGCGAATTGATCGCGCGCAGCTTCGAGCTGCATACCTGCACGGTGCCGACATCTTTGGCGACTTCCTCGTTGACCAAATTGCGAATTGACTGGGGGGGGGGTTAGACTCCTTTGACTTAGCGGAACGCTTCGTGATGCTCTTCAAAGTTTTTGATGCACGATTTCGATTTGGCGAAGCTTTGCCGGACCCTGCCAGTTTTTGGCGGGTCCCCCGCTACTAGTGGCGGTGCCAAACAGCTCCGTTCCGGGTTATTCACCGCCTAAATTTCTAAATTTTTGGAAAACGGCAGAAAAAGTTACGATAGTCTTATCTCAATTGACTTTATTCGCGGCGTGCAGAGATGAAATCTCGAGAAAACGAATACCTAATCGATTTACAACGCGCAACACGATTTCGGCTTTTTTACAGCAGCCATGTCGACTGTTGATATAAGCGCACAGAGGGAGCAGCTCTTAACTCATAAAGAGTTGCTAGCCCAATTACCGCCCGATTTATTGGAGATAATTCGCGATGGTCTCACCCCTGCACGTTTTCTCGATGCTATAGCTACGGCGGCGCTGATTCCTGAATTTACTGGACTTATATTTACCCATTTTGAGAGTGAAATTTCCGAGATATGCGCAAGATGGCTGATAAGACCACGGGATCAAGGACAAGAAGATCCTATTATCGCATCTTTTGCAAGAATCCTCCCGTTCGCGCCATACCTATCCGTTTTCTTGGAACGATATATTGGAGAAACTTCATATAGACTCGGTTCTGAACTACACACCTTCGGAATCAACTCACTCAACACGCGACCTACGGAGAACTTTGCTATACATGACTTACAGCGGATTTTACTTGCTCTCTGGAGACTCTTGAATTTTGACAAGAAAACCTTCAGCCAATTAGTTCCACCCTCCAGAATACAGGATCTATTTAAGCACGGTCATGCCTCCGTCAGGTATCTTGCTATTAGAGTTTTCTGTTGTCAGCTTAATGCTTCCGACTTCAACTTGGAGGCACTCATCCGCCAGTATATTAAACATGAAGAGTCTCTAGTTGGAGATTTTGACGGGGTCCAAGTTGACTACACCTTTCTCTCATTAGTTGAGCGTCAACGTGCAGAAGAATGGGATAAATCTCGACATAAGATATATGCCGAACTTGGAAACTATAAAGGAGAGCAGTTCTATCCCCAGGCGCTCGAGGACATAGTTATTCAGTATAACACGACGATCCTCCCCCGACCGAATGGCCCATCTCGTGCAATGTCTAGGTTGGTACAAACTCCCACTACCTTAACTAACCTGCAAAACCTCGCACAGAATCTCCAGCGATTGGGGCCGATACTTTTGCATGGATTGCCCGGATCTGGGAAGACATCTATAGTGCATGAGCTTGCCCGTGAACTTAAGATGGAGTCGAGCATGGTGACATTGCACCTGAATGAACAAACAGATGCTAAAATGCTCATTGGCCTATACTCCACAGGCTCCAAACCTGGTTCCTTTTCATGGAGACCAGGTGTCCTTACAACAGCTGTTCGCGAAGGACGCTGGGTTCTCATCGAGGATTTGGATAGAGCGCCGAATGAGGTTATGAGTACTCTGCTACCCTTAGTGGAGCATGGCAAGTTGCTTATTCCCAGTCGTGGTGAGACGGTAGAGGCTCCGAGTAGTTTCCGACTGTTTGCGACCGTTCGGACAACACGAGGAATGAATGGGCAGGAGAATCTCCCCAGTATACTAGGCCAGCGATTTTGGAATCTGTCCAGTGTAAAGATGCCTCCGCCAGTCGAGCTGGAGTACATCATCGTTGGAAGTTACCATCTACTACACAAATATACTCCGATGATTATGTCAGTCTATAGGCGTCTTTGTCATCTATCCAGTCTCCCACATGTGAGCAACTCCGGGCGGAGCATAGTAGAGCGTTCCGTCACACCTAGGGATGTCTTGAAATGGTGCCGCCGCCTTAACGAAACTCTCGTAGCTTCAGGCTGCAAGCTTGGCAACGAACCTATAAGCGAGACAACAAGAGACTGGATGTTCATGGACGCGGTTGATTGTTTCTGTGGTAACCTTTCCAAGCCGGAAGCAAGAGCTGCTCTTGTCAGTTGTATTGCCGAGGAGATGCACCTTTCGCAGCAGCTTACAGAACACTACCTCAAAGTTCATGTACCGCAGATGGAAGAAAGCCCTAGTAGTTTCAAAGTCGGAAGAGTCATGTTGACTAGAAGAAAACACGCTAATAGAGTGGTCAAGTCAAGAAAACCCTTCGCGAGCACTAGTCACTCCAGGAGACTACTCGAACAAATATCAATGGCTGTTAAACTGCGCGAACCCGTGCTTCTCGTAGGTGAGACCGGTATTGGAAAGACGACTGTTATCCAGCAATTGGCTGAATCCCTTGGCCATAAGCTTGTGGCTGTGAATCTGTCCCAGCAAAGCGAAGTTGGGGACCTCTTAGGTGGTTTTAAGCCGGTGAACGCCCGAAGCCTTGCCGTCCCCTTGAAAGAAGAGTTTGAGGACCTATTTGCTTCGACGGGAATCTCCGCGTCGAAGAATCAGAAATACCTGGAACAGATCGGCAAGTGCGCTGCGAAAGGCCAATGGACAAAGGTATCGAAGCTGTGGCGGGAAGCACCGACTATGTTTAATAAGATTGTGAGCCAACTTCAGATCCAAGCCAATGCCTCTAACGGTGGTGACTCCGATGAGCAACCTGTTGT